TTGATTGATTGTAATCGCTGTTTTGATTGTCTGTATTTCCTGCAGGATTTTAGTCATTGTAGTGGTATGTTCTGCATTCAAAGCCTTCGGAGTGATTGGGGACACTTTCGGTTTCTGGAGGCTTTCAATTAATTGAACAGCCTCCGCTAGAAGTTCATGCATGCTCTGGGAGCAAGATTGTCTTCTCTGATTGCTTGTTTGAACTTCTTTAGGGCTGTGTCCGCGTCTTGGGGTATTTGCGACGCGTTATTTCCTCCTTTGTTACCAGGAAGAGGCCTCCTAACATTAATACCTCGCGAATAATTACTTTCCATCGTTTATACGACAAGGCTGACACTTCACTGGGCAGAATTCAATGTTGAAGCCAAACCTTAACAATAACCTTAATTACGACCCCATGAATACCTAAGACAGAAGCCTGCAATCTAACATAATTAGGTTAGATATTGCCGACTTTAACCTTATCCAAACACTGATAAACAAGATTGAGATAGGATAAAGTGGCACCAATATTACTTAGCCAGCTGAAATCTTGTTCCTGCTACTAGCTTAGTTAGTATATAAGTTTACTACCACCCTTACTTACAAGCCCGGCTGGCACAATTGGTTAGCGCGTGGGCCTTTTAAGCCCAAGGTTGAGAGTTCGAGCCTCTCGTCGGGCGTTAACCTTTTGATAATCAGGGAAAATTACTTGGAACAGTAATCCTCAACTCCAAGCCCCAAAGTCATCTTGAAGATTACAAAATATCGGCGACAAGCGATTATCCTATATCAACTTCCTATCTCTTATCGAGCTGGCAAGCATTCGAGACACATTTAAGCATGATCTATTCACACAAAGCAATGGATAGCGGGCCTGTCAGCCGAGACAGTTTGCTCTTATTCAGGCGGCTCATCATGTGGACCTGCTAAGTCTGCGTGGGGGTATAACTTATATAAGTGACCATGAGATGTGGAATGACTCTGGCCTATTGCCAGGGGCGGAGGTTTACGATAGTGGAATCTTTTGAGCCCAAAAAGCCCTTAAAAGAGCCATGGGATAAGCAGGCGCGTGTCCTATAAAATGCTCCTCGGCAACCCCACGACCGCAAGAGCTCTACAAAACAGCCAAAAGATATCTTTCGAGGCTGTGATGGAAATCTTCACAAGACTGGTACAAGGCAGACCAGTTGGAATCCGACGGATACCAGCCCACTCTAGGATCACGGGGAACGAGGATGCAGACAGACTGGCTAAGGAAGTCTGTTTAACTTAGTTATGTATCATATGATGACGAAGATGACAATTTTTTTCTAAGTCGTGTAAAGGATATGAATTCTATCAGTAAATATATAAGTTGTTACATAGAACAAGGTACAAATTATCTAGAAGATAATCGAGTAAAACTGGTTGTGATATATTCTCCGTGTGATGCCTTGCCTTCTCCAATCATCCAGATAATTTCCATTTATAACCATTACTATAACCGTTCCTTAGTCATATAATCAAACTTCTACTAGCTCTAGCCTATGTGTTTGTTCTACTACATGAGTCTATGACTATCTAGCATATAGGCTCATCTCTGACCCAGGCCACACCTTGTAAAGTGCTCCTATCCTCTTTTGTTACTTGAGAGATCATTGATATATTCCCCTTGATGAATAGCCATTCAGCTCAGTATTTACCCGTGGAATTCGGCCACCTTTTTCATGGAACCTTCTACCCAAAAAATGGTAGTAACGGAAGCTCTATGCGCAGGAGAAATCATCAAAAAACCTGCAGTTCCAGCCAGGCGAGACCTAGACACTGGGACCACATGAGGTGCGCATATTCATCTATATCTCCCTTCTTTGTGACAGTTGCGCTCGACTTGATCTAATCCGCCATCTCCGTATCGAGTGCCGGGTACGCTCCGGAAACTTATCGGATGGCTTTCCTCCATGACCAGGGGTTGGTGATGAGAAGGGCTCCGACCCTACCATCTAACCTGATCGTGGCTAGCTTCATGATAGTGGTGATAGGGGGATATGCTTAGGGATGAACACGATACAGACGGCGAAAGCGATCGGGAATCCTCGTCGAAGTGAGGACTTTGTTACTCAATCTCGGCTCTGCAGACTCTACAGTAAGAGCTGGGAGTTGGGTTGCATGTGCAGTGGTACACCATCCGGGTCGTTCTTCCAAGTAGATACGGGGTAGCTTGAACACCTACCCCATTCGAGACAGGAGAAAGCTGGTTCGAATCCAGTCAGACCCACACACCACTCTCTCTCGCGGTGATGTTGTACTTGTGGGATGATGAAAGCACACTTGGATAGCCACAGGTTTTTCACGCTTTTCCCTGTGGTGGGTACGCACGGAAGAGGTTATACGCCGTAAGGGTTAACCTCGAGTGGTATCTGCAAATGAAATCTGGGTGTGAGTGCTCTAATCGTCAAATTGAGACATCCTACTTAAAGCACATATCTACCGATAAAAACCTGCATGGGCCTCAAGGCGCCAAATCAGGATAATGAACTATATATATAAGAGCTGGAAGTTAGTATGGGACACCACCGACAGGTGTTGAGAATAGTCCCCCTCCCAGCCCTAGACTGCCTAATCAGTGCCAGCTTTCTTTGTTGCTATACCTTTTTCTCTGTTACGGGATTAATACCTCGTGTTTGTACTGTCTGCGCCAGAACGGTAGGGAAGGAATATAGGGCCTAGCTAGCTACGGGGGCTACCAATGTTGCGGTCTGGATATGGTTGCTTAGCAACATAGATCGTTATGATCGGCGCTGGCAATAACAATTCCCTATGTATACATCGAGAAGTAGGTAATTTTCTTTTTCAAGATTCAATTAATTAATTGATTTATTCTGGACTTGCTCTACTGTATACCAACACCAATTGATCCGGCGACATCCTCACATGTAAATTCAGATATTTGAATATCACTAATCTTCAGTGTCGGTCGCACGTGTCAAATGATAGTTCCGAATTCCAATCATTCATATGCTTGATTTCATTATTAAATAATACTTTCGCGTACCTTGGTTAGCATAATACATCTCAACGTGGTCCGCTAAAATCCACCGGAAGAAAGTTTCAAGGCAACTTTTCCTCTAAACATGCCATCATCATCATCTTGCAGTCAACTATGAGGGCCTTGTAGAAAAATAGGGCTCATATTTGGTAGCACAGTCAAACCCCTGTTAAGACGATACTTTTTCCGGAACGGACTTCGTTCCTATACATTTACCGATTACACGATTATCGTTCTTCAACCTCTGAATATCGTCTTAACCAGGGTTTTATTGTAAGATAGGTGCTACTAATGTCGCAAAAAAAAGAAATTTATGCAGAGCAACTACGTGCTCTGCGACGATGGGCGCACCGCCAGGTCCCAAAACCAACACAAAAACAGTGCATTGAGTGGTTCTTTGCTGAGTAAAGCCATCGATCAAGCCAGTCCACAGTCTCCGAGTCCTTGAGCAAGACCTTTGCGAAACTCGACGAAGCTCCATGTTGGTAAAACACGAAGTAATACAAATTGGGTGCCGACACGAAGTCGGTGAATAATGTCAATTAACTGGTATCTCGAAATACATCAAACGTTGTCTGTTCTTTTCCTCACCATCTCCTTTTTCTTCCTCTACTCAATGCGCCTCGCTAATGAGCTAAGTCAGATCCTTGTCAGTGTCCTGACGACTACCTGAATACCGCAATAAGATAGAACAATTCATACTGCCCAAATATGATCCATTTACCGACACTTCAAGTACTGCTGCGCTACGAAAGCCAGCTGGAAACTGGCCTGACCTTGAGAGTATTAGAGTGATTAAAGACGGCAAATAGGAGTATAAAAAAGGCATAAAAAGTACAAAATAGCCTAGATAGCTGGATTAGATAATGATATCCTTTTAAACAATATCCTCTACATGACGATATTTTTCACGGCCCCGATTACATCGTCTTAACAGGGGTTTGACTGTGTCTAGAAGCAGTGAGCGAATCTCTGCGTTCTAGACTGATCTTGGGCACCGTTCGGTCAACTGATGACACTGCACAGACAAAATCAAAAGCACACGGTTGACAGTTCCCATGGGGTTGCCAGTTGCGTAGGTTGACCAGATAATGGGCCTGTTGGAGGACTAAGCTGCGATGGTTGCATCGTCATGCACGAGCTATGAATATACCACCAGGGGGTCTACCGGTACCGCTCTAAGACTATTTCTCCGCATTAACTACGAGCTCTTTAGCTCCCAGCACTAGTTGTTGCTTACACATGATTCATCTATCCCCTGTTAGAATAGGCTGGGACGGGGTAAGCCCTTGAAGGCGGGAAATATCGATTCAGCCTTACATAGTGAGGCACCATAACACGATGATAACACTTAATCACCTGGTTATATTTATAGTATTATACGTCCATAATTCATGCTCCTCATCTTGAACCTAAAGGTATAGATACATTCAGCGTGCCACGTGACAGTGCCGGAGTCATGAATATGAACGATTGTAGTGGCTTATCAGCGTGTGAAAGCTGAAAACGGAAATTTGCATAGGTCTGATATGGTTAATTGGTAGATTGCGTCAGTGCCTGGTACAGCTTTCTCGCTATCGATAGTAAAACCTTTTCCGGCAACTCGTTGTGCTGACTGTGCGGCCTCACCTCGCCCCAGCGTTCAGCCATCTAGGTAGTTTTACCCTAGAATCACGTATTGCCAGGGTTCCAGGAAGCTGGAGCTATCAGTCCCATCAACTGCTCTCACTCGCATCAGAGACCCGATAACCGGCGTCACCACCGCAAACATCGAACCGCAATCGATGCAAACGTACTGAACAATATACATCATCTATCTCCATCGGTTCTTTGGTTCAGACCAATTTTCTGCGTATCTCGAGCATTGTTTGACTCCACAAAGCTCAATTATCCAGTACACGCCTTCAAAGCCATCATTCAACAATCGTCCTCTATCCATTCTTCTGGTTTCAACAAGCTCTGAGTTGTGTTATAATATCTGAGATTTCGACCCATGGAATCTTACATTGCACCACATGACGCGACCGTCTCTCTTAAGGTTCTCATAGATGGCAGAACTCAACAGTTCAAGCTTCCTCTTCATGACTTTGCTCCTGAAGCTCTAACGACGAAGGTAAGCATCTCCTTGAGGAAAACGCTGGTGTACAAATGTCTTTCAGACAAAATTAAAAATTTTATATTTATCACGCTAACACCCGCTTACAAGATGCTTAGACTTCTTTTTGGAATACCCAACTCATCGGAAGTCATATTCGAGCGACATCTAGGAAATCCCGGTAGATACGCTCCTCTTGACCTCAACAATAAATCGGCATGCAAGTATCTTTATTGTATTGCTAGAGAAAAGGAACGGCTCTGTCTTAGAGTCACTACTACGCTCGCCAAGTCCAATATTCCCAGAACAATTACCAACGAAGATGAAGAGAAAAGTATAAATAATGAAAAAAATTGTGAAGCGGATCATTCCAACCCAGGCACTGACTTTTCTCAAAGTTCCCATGACCACTCAAGCCTGGAATCGGTTGACCAGAAAGTCCTATCACCTGAAGATTACGAAAAAAGTATGAACACATCTCAGAAGCTCCATTCTGATGTACAATTACATCAAAAGATTAGCCTCAGCAGCCAAAACGATCGTAATGATTTTTCCGCAGCAGGCAGAGAAATTTCAAGAATTCCTAGCCAACGTGCGGTCACAGCCTACAACACTTCAGCCTTAGAGACAAATGGAACCCAATGCAGCAAACTAGATAATGAACCCGAAGGAACTTACAAACAGAACCGCATTGGAGTTAAAAACTTTGATATGTACGAAAAAAGTGGTGCCCCTCCCAATTTACATCCAGCTACGACTGGGATTACTATTTGTTGTAACAGTTGCAATGCATCAATCCCAAACGAGCACTACCACTGTAGTAATTGCGATGACGGGGATTATGACCTCTGTAAAGCCTGCGTTGACAATGGGGTTCTCTGTCAGGGCATCGATCACTGGCTGATAAAACGATTTCTAAGAAATGGAGCGATAGTTGCTAGTACTACAGAGACAATAATACCAAAGCCAGACCCTCTTAGACAAGGACTAGAAAGCCTCTACGATTCTCACAAGATGGTTGATAGTCGCACTTGCAATGTCTGTGTTCGCGGTAAGTTATTTATTTAGTAGGCTCAACCAATTGCTAACTTAAAAAAGGATTTAAAAACGAACAAATGGTAAACTGTAAGGATTGTCCTGATTATGACATCTGCATCGACTGTTTTGTCAACGCCGAATGTGGGCATAATCCTCGACATTCTTTTCAATCAGTTGTCAAAGAAGTAATCCTCAGCCCCCAAGTACAAGCACTACTTCCCCCAGGCCGCAATACTCTGCACGAGGCCATCTGTGACGGATGTCGTACGGTATGAATAACCTTCTACAGATTAAATTTGCGCTTACATTGTAAATAGCACATTCGCGGCGTCCGCCACAAGTGCTTAGAGTGTCCAGACTGGGACTACTGCTCGACGTGCATTGAAAATGCTAGTATATCACATAAATTACACCGTTTCGTCACAATCTACGGGCCAGATGATATCTCTGCGCCTACTAGCTTAAATTCTGAAGTATCCGTACACGATGACGTATATTGTGACGGCCCCCTCTGTGGAAAGTTTTCATCATTTATTATTGGAGATCGCTATAAGTGTACTATTTGTAATAATACAGACTTTTGTGCTAGTTGCGAAGCGAGTCATTTAAACCACCACAACAACACCCACCCACTCATCAAGCTTAAAACACCAGTTCGTAATGTCAGCGTGAAAACAGTTTGCGATACGCAACATCAACAAAATCTCCCTATAACGTGTGATGGACCGATTGTGGAAACCAGAAGATTCAACAGCTCTAATCGAAGACCGACATTAAGCACAACTTCTCAAATCTACACAGTGCTTGATTTTCAGCCATCTGAAACTGCTAAAATACAGGCTGTTACATACAAAAAATCTGGCCACTTACACAACGAAGTCCTTAAACTTGATGACCTAGATGAGGTTGAGTCTGAGCAAAAATCAATCCTCCAAAATTACGATTTATCAACTCAGAAGAAACTGGAAGCTCATTTCGTGCGCCAAGTTATCAGAGATGGCATCACTATGAAGGCTAACGCGACATTTGAGCAAACCTGGCTCCTTCGTAATATAGGGAATAACATCTGGCCTGCTGGCTGTAAAGTTGTATTTATAGCTGGAACTAACATGTGCGCTCTAGATCCAGAGTACCCAACGGGTGTACCAGGACAATTTTCAGCTGTCAGTGGTAGCATATGCAACTATCAAGTAGACCCAGGCCAAACAGCTGGATTCTCTGTGCAGATGAAGGCTCCTGATTTTGAAGGAAATTTTACCTCTTTTTGGCATCTTATAGCTCCAGATGGAACTAAATTTGGGGTTACCTTGTGGCACAACATCATAGTCGAAGAATCCGAACCAATTGGTCAGAAATTATTTGACTCTAGTATGGAGCTAAGAAGAAATCAAATTATTTTCCCAATTATTGAGAGCTCAGCTATCAATACACAGCAGAGATTAAGCGCGAACTCCAAATATTCCGAAACTGTTTCAGACTACCACACAGACGTTGGTACAGACGCCCAATCTAACGAAGAAGCTTCGACTGATGATGAAAATGAATATGAATTTGTAAACAACAGTATTGATGACTTTTAATCAGCAAAGCGTGAGAAGACATGACTAATGGTAGCGGGAATGTGTACTGAAAAAGATGTAGAGGTGTAATGTTGGTTAGGAAGGCTGGGTTCAGGTACCAACGAGAGTGTCCCAAACTGTATGTAATTCATAGCACTCGAATCTATCAACTCGATTTAAGTATTTATGCACTATTTCCGTTTAACGCGAGCTAATTACGGACTAATTTCCGCTTCCTGGTAGATCTATGCTTAAATTCCGTCTCCAGTAGAAATTGCTGTTTCGGTCATCTAGAGTCTTTCACATGTGCAGAGTGTTCAAACTAAGATGGCTATGATTTACTCAGAAGATTGAACTATATAGAGAGGGAAATAAAAAATACGTATAGTTGTTGGGTTGACTATGGGGTAGTTTGAAGATCGAACATACCGATTGCGAAGAGACTAATGTTATTCTCTATTTTGGTTCCAATTTTGTTCGTGTTACACAAAGACTTTGTAGGAATTATGGCTGTAGTTTTAGTATTTTTTATTAATAAAGATTATGCTGACGCACAACATTAAACTACAGGGATAAGTGCCGGTTAGCTCAGTCTGTAAAGACTACCCGACGTGCCAGCGCCCCTAAAGAGCCCTGCAAATTTCAAATGAGGCCTAGCCACTGCTCAGCACCACAATATTTACAAATTTGAAGAGTTGACTGCCTCTGTCAAATATCTATGTGATACCTTTGCAATTTTGAGTCCTCCATTTCAAATACTTCCCAAGCTTCCTCGGCCCAGCATCTATTCTACCTTCACTAGCAGGCTTTAATTTGTTGACAGGACGTTCTTACTCGGTGACTCAAACTTGGCGTCCTTAGGTATTTCCCCATCGGAGACAGTGTTGGAAGTGTGGGTCGTAGGTCGTATTGTGGGATTTTTTGCATTAAATTGGTCCTTTGAAGTTGTTGTATCGAGGAGGATACAATATTCAGCTTGAACTAATATCGGCCTGAATGGTCTTAATAATTTTCGTGATTTATATGCTCGAGATGTCTCAGCAATCCGGGACTTCTGGCCATAATCAGACCAGCATCGCCTCTTCTCATAAGAAACTCAGTCCGGAAAAATCGACTCAAACAAGGGAGGACGTCTAAATCTTGGCTCTAGAATGGTAGTTCACTCCAGGATTCTGCTTTCTTTTGCATCAGATTTGAATTGCGTTTGCAGCTATCTAGCTATGACACGTCAGAGACTAAGAATAGAATAAATGACATAATATGAAAATAGCGCATTCTTGCCTCAGATTTCATTTACAAGTACCACTATGAAGTTATAGTGGCTTTTCCATCTCCCCAGGTCAACCCTCATCCGTCAATACCCACCCAGGGAAACTTCTAAGAACCCCTGAGTTATCTAGGCATACCTCCATTTTCCAATAACTTTTCCCCGCGCGAAATGTGTTCTGAGGCGTCTCCTTCTCAAGTGGAGTAGGTGTCTAGGCTACTCAAACTTTACTAGAAACAATCACCAAGAGGCAGACCACAGCAACTTCCATTTTTGGCTTATATTTATAGTGTCAGCTGCACTCCCGAAATCGAAGTCTTATTGTCATTGATACATAGCTGAATATGATATGAGTTTAAAAAAATATTAAAAATCGAATCTTGGTGCACGCAATGCTCTTCAGATTGTAAAACTCTGGCCAAAATTACAAGTCTCACCCGCCAACATTGTACTCTTCCTCTGAATCATTTTTCATACTTGTCCTGGTTTCTCTCAAGCAAGTCCCAAAGAACTTCCCCAATTTGTGGACCACGATTTTTGTCATCATGCGGGTATTGGTATTGTTGCAGGCGTGTATTTGGTTGCCAGCTGAGGCTAGAGAAACTCGACGAGAGGTCTGGTTGTTGAAATGAGAATGCATTAGGTCGTACTTATAGACTTAATGAGACTTAGGTGTGAATTCATCTAGCTGGAAGTTAAAGATTAACATGCTTGAGTATTTTGAATTATTACTTCGTGGGCATACTTGTTGGGTATTGCAAAATTTGGCTGAACTTGACACTGGGAGAATATTTCACCCCCAGGTTCGTGGGAGGCACCGCGTACTGGTGTTCATTCTTGCCCTCCGACGTCTGACTCATCAACCAGTGGCGAAATGGTCTTTAAGGGGGACTATTCTCAACGCCTGTCAATGGTGTCCCCTACGAGCCACCAGCTCTTACTGTAGAGTCTGCAGAGCCGAAATTTAGTAACAAAGTCCTCACTTCGACGGGGATTCCCGATCGCTTTCGCCGTCTATATCGTGTTCATCCCTAAGCATATCCCCCTATCACCACTATCATGAAGCTAGCCACGATCAGGTTAGATGGTAGGGTCGGAGCCCTTCTCATCACCAACCCCTGGTCATGGAGGAAAGCCATCCGATAAGTTTCCGGAGCGTACCCGGCACTCGATACGGAGATGGCGGATTAGATCAAGTCGACCTCAACTCTTACAAAGAAGGGAGATATAGATGAATATGCGCACCTCATGTGGTCCCAGCGTCTAGGTCTCGCCTGGCTGGAACTGCAGGTTTTTTGATGATTTCTCCTGCGCATAGAGCTTCCGTTACTACCATTTTTTGGGTAGAAGGTTCCGTGAAAAGGGTGGCCGAATTCCACGGGTAAATACTGAGCTGAATGGCTATTCATCAAGGGGAATATATCAATGATCTCTCAAGTAACAAAAGAGGATAGGAGCACTGTACAAGGTTTGGCCTGGGTCAGAGAGAAGCCTATATGCTAGATAGTCATAGACTTATGTAGTACAATAAACACATCATACACTCCGTAGTATGGCTTCCGCAAAGCTCATAACCACAATTTACATTCAAGGTACCGACGCTCCACAAATCCCAGGTTCGCAACAAGTTCGCAGAATGTCCGTTAAAGTGTTAGGGGTAGTGATTTTTGCTGGTGGCGACATCTGGTATGCAGAAGATTTTTTAGAATGGAGTTGTAGTCACTTGATTCCTTGGGTCGGCGGCAGATGTATTTGATAGCAGCTATTGTGTTAAAATCTTATCTCCACTTATTATTGCCTATCTAACGAGAGGAGGGTAGAAGATGATGAACACTGGCTGTAGTATATCTGCTTCGAGGAACCCGGCGTGCTGTGTCTCGAGCACGAAGTAAGCGCTCACAGCACCTATGGAGGATTGAATTATGTGACGTGAAAGATAAATTCAGCAATTCATCACAGCCTCAGGGGTTTAGCATATCGCTGCAAGGTGCGCGCGTGAGCATGCCCGCTTTCTGTCGCCCGCCCCACCTCTAGATCGACATGCGGATCCTAACGGCAAGACGGCGGACCGAAATCCGGACTCTTTGCTGCAAGCCAGCCGGCGCACGATGCAATGCGCCCTTGGATACGTAGCGTGGCGCCGATCGAGGCACCCATATCCACAATTCGCATAAATCCAAGACACGCGTCGCGACTTTGAATAATACAATTACGTAGTCTGCCGTATGAATGATCGCGGGACCAAGATAGATTACAGGGGCCTTGTTGACTGAAAAAGTCCTAAGAATAGCACATTGCATGCCCAGCTTTCTCTAAACTTCGAAGTGTCGATCCGGAGGGCAAGACTGAACACCTGTACGCGGTGTCCTCTACGAACCTGGGAGTGAAATATTCTCCCAGAGCCAAGTTCAGTCAAATTTCGCAATATCGAAGAAATAGGCCCACCAGGCAAAAATTCAAATTACTCCTCCACGTCGTTTTTTCGCTCCCAACGAGTTTGACTTCTACCTAAGTCTCATCAATTCTGCGAGTACGACCTAGTACATCCTCATCCCAATGACCATACCTCTCGTCGAATTTCTCTGGCCTCAGTTGACCACCATTTACACGCCCACGCCGATATTTACACCCGACGGAGGAAGCAAAGCGTGGAGCACAAATCTGGGAGACAGTTCTTTTGGATGGACGTGAGAGGAATTAGGACAAGTTGACAAGATGATGCAAAGGAAGGATATAAATTCAAAGGGCACGAGATTCCGAATTTTGGCAAGAGTTTTACGAATTGAGCTTTGTGCGCGCCAAGACTTCGCTTTCGAGAGTGCAGCTGACACTATAAAAACAAGCCAACGATGGAAGGTGCCGTGGTCCGCCTCCTGGTGGTGTTCTCTGGTATTGTCTGAGTAGCGTGGGCATCTACTCCACTTGGGAAGGAGACATCTCAGATTACATTTCGCGCGGAGAAAAGTTGATGGATGACGGAGGCATGTCTGGGTAACTCAGGGTTTTTGAGACGTTCCCCTGGGTGGGTTTTCACGGATGAGGGTTGACTTGGGGTGAAGAAAAAGCCACCATAACTTCGCAGTGGTACCTGCAAATGAAATCTGAGGCATGAGTGCTACTCTTGCAAATTGAGTCATCTTTTCTATACTTTTCTTTGAAGTTGTGTCATAGCTACTTAGCTGCATACTCGATTAAAATCTTATGCAAAAAAAAAAATAGAGGTGTCGATCCGTAGCTAGTTCGGGACGGTCAGATCGAATTGGTGCTAATTTATTACCCACTCAAATTGATTTATATTTAAAGTCTCTACTAAGTCCTAGATTATGTAAATCTTCTTAGGAACCTACCTAAATAGCTCCTTAATTTACAGGTTAATTTTTTATTAGAATATCACAGATATATGCCAGTTGATCCTTAGGATCTAGCCCTAATTTACCCACTCAGATGTCTCCACATAACTCATCGATGTTTCTTACACATGCAAAATTAATTATCTAATTCTAGGTATACATGTAGCCTCGAATTAGACGGCAAGTACCACTTTACAGCATATCTACTTCATGAAGCCATCATGATACGTCCATGAGTACGGACGAGAGACAAACTTTGAAGGCTATGGTTATCCATGAGTGCCTTCGTTGCCTTGTATAAAATAATTAGTGTGAAACGTACTAATATTTTGCCAGACTAGAATCAGTGATTTCCTCACTCCAGTAGGATAGATGTTCGAAATATACAGACTCTACTTGAGAGAATAGCTCGAATCATAGACTACTTCACTACCCAAGCCGTATCATCGCAATGCAACCAAGATATGACTGCCAATAAACTCGATTCGAGAGCAATCTGAAACGAAGAATTAACTAATGACTGCTTCTTGGAAAAGGAACAGGCCACACTCGGCAATTATGAGTATATGTTTGAACGTGTTTAAATTAGATTGAACCCTTTGACTACAAGACGCAGCTCTATCTAAATCCCTCAAATCGAGACTCAAAACGTGCGAAATCAGTACCCGCATAGGTGCAATGAATATTTATCGCTAATAGTGACGAATATCATGTCTTACTCACAATACCTCCTGCCAGTTTAATTTCTCAGTAAGGTTTAATCACAAAACTTCGCATCATCGATTGGCATAATCGGTACTACTCCTGTTTAGGCTCCCATTTTTCCGATTTTTAAGAATAAATAACTCCCAGCCTACTTTACATTTGGATAGAACGCCAGCAAACAAATTTTGATCAGGAAATTATCTTCAAAATTCAGCCTCAACAACTCATTAGAGCTACAATGCTAAATGCCGTAAGTATGATAGTATAGTATGATTTGGTGACTTAGATCAAGGCAAAACTCATTACTCATGTTAGTTAAAGTGTTCATTGAAGAACTCTACTGTAGGTCCATTCGGTCGTATATTCTTCGCGACTGATCTTTGTACAACTGACATCATCGTATCAGGTCCACAGGCGACAATAGCAATCTGTTCAGTCGGAAGGGTAGCATCAACAGCATTAGAAATAAGAGCAGCGATATCAGGGCGTTTCTGAATTATTGTGTATGGGGTTTTGACAGTAGGACTAGTAGTGAGGGAGGCACCACACTTTTCTGAATCAACGATCTGAGTCGATTGTTTAGCCTTATTCAATACAGCTACACTTTGCTTGGAATCAGAAGCAAGTATATCAAAGTGAGATGGGACTGTTGTATGGCTAGAGTATTTGTTTGATTGGCCTCGGGTGGCAAAGAGGTTTAAAGTTAGGAGCGGTGAGTTAGCGAGAATGCTGAGATGTGTCGATATCCATTCAGCGCACTCTATAAATAAGTTAGCCTACATTTGTTTCAGGTATGAGTAGAAGAGCTACGTGCCCTTTTCGCGCATAGCCCAAATAAATTCGATATTGGTCCTTCTCGAATTTCCAAGTTTATGCAGCAGTTGAACGGCCAGACCACTAGTGAAAGAGACACCGCTTCCTCCAGAAATAAATACCACTCTATTGAAACTTGTCAAGTCCCCCATTACTCCATATGGTCCGTGAATAGAAGCCTTGATCATAGCACCAGGATCACGTTGAGCACAAATATGAAGATCTTTGGTGAAACCATTATGGGCCGAAACAATAAACTCTAGAGGGTTCGTGGCCATACAAGTAAATGGATGAGTTTCTAGCGCTCGAATACCTGGGAGCCAGATGTAACAGTGGTCGCCTGGAACGATTGTCTTGGGAGCTTTTCTAAGAATGACACGTGTTCCGCCATGACAAAGTGGGATTATAGTTGCGTCATTGTTAAAACTGTAATAGAAAAGTTGAACTGCCCTTACTGTTCGGTCTAATCCCCAAATTAATGCGGTCGATGCCAAAATATAGCTCGACTTTGTGGTGACAATCTGACGGCGGTGTAGACCGGCCATGATAAGTACCATCATAGTCAGAGTTACATGTATGATGTAGAAAGCTTCATATTGGCGTTTTCTCAAAAATGTGGCAGTCAAGAATATGAATAAGAAGCATGATGCGGCAGTTATGCCCATGATCTGGGGTTGTTCTTTCAGGACAGTAAGTCTATCCATGTGCTTCAACTATTTAATGAAAATTTAGTACTATACTCAGCGTATCAAAGAACATTTCTTTTTTACATCCCATGCGTAATTAGAGGAATCCTTACATTTAGAAAGTAAATCAGAGCATGAGCTAGTGCACTGGCAATGGTTGAGTAACCTGCAACGCGATGAAGGCCGTTCAACCTCTCATGAGATTGGTTTATCAAGAATGCCAAAGGCGTGTTCTTTAGAGAAAGAAATACACACAGAGCAAGATTGAGGACGGTCAGCCTGAACAATATTTAGTCGAAAATCTCCATGATGATAGATACATGGTACCACCCAAGGCGTTTAGCTAAGCCTGTTAAGTTATCCCATTTAACATTAGTCGTTGCGACGCTTACAGCCACAGCCAAGTATAGCAGAAATGCCAACGCATGACCAGCTGATTGAAAGAGAGGCACTTTGTTGATTAATCCTCGTCGTGTGCACCTATTTAGTGCGTCAATGAAAGCAAAAAAGACAAGTTTTTGGAGCATCTACCTTATAAGTTTCCGAAGTGTCCGAAATACTGGGCCTCTTAGTTCTATGTGTCTATAGAAATCTCGGGCCCAAAATACGAGTGCAAATAGCGAGACAATTCCCGCTATACCCAGAGCGAAATGAACAGCAGCCTCTTCATTTTCCTGCTGGCGTATTTTTTTTAATAAGGCTTTGGAGGCTTTAATAGATGCAATCGCAGTTGTATTATCGGCCATGACTAAGATCTGAAGAGATTGGAATTATGGGGCTGAAGAAACTCGGAGATGCAGAAGCAAAGAACGGGAGAGCCAAATGCTACGCTTTTATCTCACACTTGCTCCATTCAGATGATAATGATAACCCTACGATGGTGTAACAATGCGTAGTAGTAACTCCGGGTTTCATACAGGGTAGAAGTAATCGTGGTGATTATATTTGAGCCCCCATGTAAGCTGCCAGGAATCTTTCATCTTTCACGTTGTCCATCTTCCCTCGTCATCAGTCTACATCTTTCCTGGCTCATTATCATGAGCGGAAGCAGTCACTTTTCTCGAGTTGCACGACACAAACGATGTAGTTGTGCCCTGTACATGGCATAGAATTTTCATGAGATGCAAGAATCGCCTGAACTTGAACCCTAATTTAAATAATTCTCGATGGTTTTTTTCATTGTCAATGCATTTCAGTTTCCTGAATTAACTTTGAGGCTCTACGCTAGCTCAACGTTTCGTCTTCAAGATGGCGTAGTGCTCAGATCGAAGCGAATCGGCATTTGCAAAATTTCACAGGGTTATATACGTGTAATTATAAGGGCGTTCAGCTAGATATGCGGGAATCCGTTGCGGGAATGTATTTTTTGGGAAAGTGCGTCGAATAGTAAACGCCATTCCACGCGCCTTTTCCAGTGACATTCATGATGATTCTACTAATCTCGACAAGATATCCTAAAATCTGATCAAGTTAGACTTTTTCTCGTGTCAAGAAGAGATATCAACCCTTGTTTCCCTATTTCGAGCCAAAATAATTCTTGCTTTTCGCCTTGGATGTACAGCGCCATCAGATGAGACTCATAATCAATTCTAGTAGATATTGGTTATTTTTCTGCATCTGATTGACGCTGTGGCACACTGATCTACTCTCCTCTTACTCTTCAATACTTCTTTTTTTGAAGTGTATGTATAGTTAACTGTAGATTTCCTCTTTACTGCTTGATGGATTGAAGAATTATCAGATTGTTGAGCTAGGTATAGAAACATGCAAAGAGATCCACAATCCCAAATTCCAACCCGGGTAAATCCGCGTGTGAATAAGTTGGTATCTTGAAGAAAAGAGGTTTTATTATGCTGCAGCTCTCAGTATCACCGCCCTGTGGATCGATATTAGGAATCCAGATTCTCATGATATTTATCGACCAGCTTTAGGTAGTAGAACGGCTAGGCCCGCGATTTAATAATAAGGTTTATCCGCGACAAGCTATTCAAAACGTAACGCCGCTTGGATACTATGTTGTATGACCTGAGCAAAAGCCATTTCCTCACCCGACCGTTAAGCAGAGAAGATAATTGAGACTGTACAGAGCGCCTCATAAGGCGACTTGTAGTTCATGGGATCATAGCCCAGCCTTATCTACAGGGACTCGTATTTCTTTCTTCGGCTATATCTCTCTGCCAAGACAAAAGCCCGAATAATCAACACTGACACGGGCGTGTGAGCGTTGCATTTCGTATCAAAAGTGCGCGCAAAGTGATCGAGCTTAGACGATATTCGAGTAATCTTCTCTTGCCTTCAAGGTCGTCAATCATAGTTTGGACTCTAAACCGGAGACCTGACTGGAAACTTTCGAAGCTTGTGTCGAATATTAACACGTGATAACTGGCCTGTACATGCAGGTCAATTAAGAGGCTTTGGCGGATGAGGTCTCACTGGCTCTCATACATGCTCAAAGCTAGGTAGAAACAAAATTCACAACGCCTATATCAAATCTAACAGCTCCACCTACGATTAGTCATGTGTCATCAATTATCCCTGATATCCTGAAAACCCTAATCCACGCGTCCCCGCTACTCACGAAAAGTATTCCGTAGAAATACAATTTTCTTTCGCTCGGACGTTTCTTCACAGTCATTTCAGATGCTTGAATTTGGACAAACCTTGTGGCTGGTGCCGCGTGGCGTTTAGTGCAAGTCCTGAGCTTTCTATAAAGCGTTCTGGACTCAACATCGTCGCCCTAGCAATCCATAATTGAGGTGGCTTTAATCCAACAAAGCTTTACGATCCTCATCGTATCCGACTACCTCGTCAATGATAGGGGCCAGACTCGCGCTTTTTCCAACCCAAGTCTTGGTCTCCGCGGAACAAGCTGCTTCAATAGCTGATGGTAAATTTGCAACGCTGGCCTTTATGGCATACCCTTGCATTTCTAATTCTGCAGCGAGCTCTTCCTGATGATTGTCTAAGAGCGAAGTATTCGGTACGACAACTAGTGGTAGTCCTAGACGCAGCGTCTCTAAGATTGTCCCGGCACCTATGTTGGCTGTTTAGATGTGATCTCTATTCATAGGGTCTTCCAACACCACTTACCTGCGTGACATATTACGAGTCCTTGTCTAGAGACACCGTCTGTGGCATGACATCTCCTCATCTCTTCATTCAGCCCGTCTTGTTTAAAATCGAAGGCCCTGACAACTATATCCTCTGTATAACAAGGCTTATTCTGCTCAAATAGGCTGACAGACTTCCCGCATTGTAGTGTGATATGCGTAAAATGATGATCGGTAAGTACTTTAAGAGACTCTCGAGATATGGCAGATTTGATCAGCTCCGGAAACTCTGCGGTAGCTCCTGTGGTTATGAGACATTCTCGGCGAAGTCGTCCAGTTTTCATATCGTAGTAGGCCCGGTAGAGGAAAAATACAAACGAGAACTCTAGGACATGAGGTGATACGAGAGCTTAAATCGGAGACGGCTGGGGATATTATCGTACTTGTGAATGGGTGTTAGACTAGATTCTATCCGATGGATGCCTTGTGTCCGAGGTATAAATTATTTCATAATCTTTGGGCCTTTTATTGTTCATGTTCGATCGAGTAATCCACCAAGTTATTTCAGTTACCTCTGTCTACTGGTCAAGGATGTCTGTCTTCTTGACGACCTCCATTGTACCTTGATTAAATCATAGATCTTTATTGAAGTACACGCTAAGAGGGGCACTACTCATCCTTATTTTCCCTCTCCAACTAGCGAAACAAAAACCAGTTATGCGTGTAGAGTAGCTGGGAAGACTCGCAAAAACTACTCGTCGCGGGGCTCTCCTAACACCAGGATTAAATTCGAAGACATAACTACTCTCCTGATACGCATGGATAAGAACCTCCTTTCGTCCTTTTCAACTATTTTACAGTGAGTCCAGCCTACGTTAGCTATGTCACACCTGAACACCCATGAACCAATAAATTCTCCCTTACAAAAGTGTTCACCCAATTCGTCGTAATATTACTTTGACGCGTAGCATCTCTGTCTATCGCCATCCACGAAAAGTGAGTTGGAAATTTGCACTTTAGATCTCATGGTAGCAGTCTTGTTCTACAAAAGCATGTATTTACGTATTCCTCAACATAAACCTATTCCACTTTCATCTTCTATGTTAATCAGTCCAAGCTCGTTAAATCGCCGTGCTCCATATTGATCTTCATCATGGTCAGAGACTCTTCTACCTATTTCTATTTCGTCCAAGAACTTTAGATGTCCAGTAGTTACCCTCCTGTCTGCAAAAATTACAGCAGTATTCCTCCTTTAAAAGCTAGGCTCTTGTCTTCCTTATCTGCTTCCGTATCTTGTTCCTCTCTGTTCTTCATCTTCGGTAATCAAGCATCAGATATCCGAATATTTGTCGTCCCCTTTGGCCATATCAGTCGTAGCTATAGTCATCTTATTTTTTTATACGACAAAGATGCACAGCTCGAATGATCTATGCAGCGTTCTATGTTATCCTATCCTTTTTTCACCTCTTGCGCCATTTACGCCTCGAAACAGATTAAGAAACGTCTGAAAATGTCAGGAAAACCTTGATGGAGGGGATGAATTGTAAAGTAGCCTGTACCAACTGTCCTGTGTTGTTTACTGTAGTGAAGCATGTCGTATGCTCACTGTTAGTCAGGCCCTCCTGTCTAGTGTTGGACTCTTACTTGGCCCTGTCGTCTCTACACCGAGAGCTGGCGGATCGTAGGAAATACTGTCGGCGGGTTTTAAGTCTTTGCCTCCATTTGAGGTACTTGAAAAATATATGATACTGTGTAAAAATTAATTGAAGAGTATTTTTATTTTTTATTTGGTCAACAAGCCCACCGGGTAGCGCTCCTCAACGTAGTGGAGTTATCTGTTATGGCATCTGACGCGAAATTGGCTATTTGAGAAGCTACTATAGTCAAGTATATTCGTAGTGGTACTTGCAAATGCAATCCGAGGCATAAGTGCACTAATTTTAAATTGAGTCATCTACTATGTACTTTTTCTCTAATAATGTGGCATAGCTGGATAGCTGAAAATGCAATTAAAATTTGACGCAAAAAAACTGGATTTTAGTATATTTATCGAGCCGACGGCTAAGAACGGCGGACATATTCAATAAATTATCTGAGAAATCCTGACTGTGAACGCCACGATGGCTTCTAGCAAGTCTAGGATAGTCTGAAACTAAATATGAAGATCGATATACTATGCGCTATTATCTTCTTAATCCTAAGATATAAACTAGCTGGTAATATGACTTGAAATTAGGGATTATAGAAGCTTGGTAAGTTAAATACTTGAATAGGCTAGATGTGGTTTGAAAACCATAATACTCGCCTCGATTTTTATGTTGTGAGCGAGACACAGATACGCCGTTGTGGGTCTGAGGCGCTGTGACATAGGGAATACAAACTGCATAGGGCTGACTTGACTCATGATAAACTATCTATGGATCTTTATTGGAGCGGTCCAGGCCTTGGGGTGATAATGTAAAGCCATCACATTGGTGTAATTCTCTTCAGGCGTACAAAGCGCGTAGAGTGCCACGCACATTCAAGAACAAATTACCAGTGTAATCTGTTGGAATAAAATAGGTCGTCATAACATAATTTGTATTCCCTTGAGTCATAAATAGCGTTGAGCTGGCGTGGCCGAATTTGATAACATGGACGAGATGAAGAAATGGGAAGAAGTGGGTTATGGAACCACGCGAGTAGTTGCGTAATGACTAACGAATGATTTAGGCGATTCTAACACTACAATACTTTTATTCTTATTTTATTTGAATTCATTAACTCGAAATGGTGCCTTACAGGCCCACGAAGGAGACTCATAACTCTTATATGAGATATTTTCGCGAGAGGGAAACCTTTCGATATAATTCCACTGCCTCTAGACTTTTCCAGGATTTTTGTTCAACCTACAAGGAATGCAACTTGGTCATTGGTTCGAGATATAACTGGCTAAAGCAGACTTTCCTTTCCCTCGCGTGCCAAAACTTGATGCCTGCGGTCTTAAGCTCGGCCTAGATGATGCAGATATTGGCGGAAGGGCTAGAACCAGAAGCTGTTTGCGCACGCGATCCGACCCTCTTTTGGCTCTCTCCGCCTTTTGATGAGATACCAGTGGGATTCCCTGATCGTTTTTGTGTTTATTGTACTGCTCGAGTCATAGACTGTCTAGCACATTGGGCTCCTCTCTGGCCCAGGCCAGAACTTGTACAGTGCTTCTTGTCTCTTTTCTTACTTGAAATATCATTGATATATCCCCCTTGATGAATTGCCATTCAACTCAGTATTTACCCATGGAATTCGGCCACCTTTTACACGGAACCTTTACCTCAAAAAAAACTTAGCAACAGAAACCGCTAGCACTGCAAAAAGGCCCAAAAAACCTGCAGCCCCAGCCAGGCGAGGCTTAGACACCAGGACCATATGAGGTGCGCATATTCATCTACATCTCCCTTCTTTGTAACATTCGAGGCCGACTTGATCCAATCCACCATCTCCGTATCGGGTGCTGGGTACGCTCCGGAAACTCATCGGATGGTATCTCCTCCATGATCAAGGGTTGGTGATGAGTAGGGCTCCGACCCTACCATCTGATCTGATCGTGGTTAGCTTAATGATAATGGTGATAGGGGAATGTGTTGAGAGGTGAATACGGTACAGACGGCGAAAGCGATCGGGAATCCTCATTAAAGTGAGGACTTTGCTACTCAATCTCGGCTCTGCAGACTCTACAGTGAGAGCTGGAGGCTTGTAGGGAACACCACTGATAGGTGTTCAGAATGGTCTCCCGTGAGAGCTGTGTAGGATGTATGGGCGGGGATATCCTACTAGATCAGTGTCCTTAGCCTGTGTGTAGAGAGGACCTACATCTTCTGCTAATCCTTAGACTTAGATAAGATAATGAAAATGAAAAATTTATTTGTTAATATTTTGACCGCTACAGCACCGCGCTCCACAGATGTCAAAGTATTGTTGTGATGAATGCTTCCATCTGAAATGGTCTATCTAATCTGATACCTCGAATTTTTATGTTGAACCTCGGCATGGTGACTTGAGGTAATGGAAAGGTGGAATTTCTGGCGGGAAGAAATTTAGCGGTGCTATCCAAACTATTAACAGACAGCGGTAGGCAACTAATACAGGTTTAGACTCCATCGCGAACTCCATACCCATTAATATTGATAACTTGAAGACAATTGAGTTTTATTTGAACATGGTTCAAGATGGTACAAGGAACGGGAGATTGACCGATTTGTGCCTCGATCGTTGTATTACCAGCGACAAGAGTGAGAATGCGAATGCAATTTTAAGGAGTAGAAAAGATACAGCCGACAGAGCTACTGAACAAGTCAGAACTACACATTGGAGGGGGGGCACCCAAAGTAAGGCAGCTACAGAGTAACGATATGGAGGTATTTGTGCAGTCAGTCTCTCAAAGAGATTCTACCTTGAGGATGGCTCAGCTAAAGTTGTTCTCCATCCTAAAGTAGGATTATACTGTCAAGAGTTTGGAAGTCCCAATGGGGACCATGATACAAAGAGACAAGGATTCAAATATCAGCGGGGTTATTCATACAATGATGGCTGAAGCAAAAGTTTGAATTCATGAAATATATTAAAGAAAGGTTAGGTGGTTTTACGATTAAAAGAAGCATCGATGGATGAATAAAAATGACAGACTCGAGGATTCGTGATAGCAAGCCTGCGGACAGTGGCTTTTCAATGCGAAGTGATAAGAAACGACATTTTTTTATCTCAATGCTGGTTATGGTCCAGCCCTAGCCATCCCCAGTCCAAACCAAGCAGGGCATACTCAAGCCTCTTTCAAAAAGACTAAAAGATGTTTGGAGTTTGACGGCGCCCACCAGAACATAGATTTATCGAAGAAAAAAAACTCTACTTCAAATTTGTAAATGCCCATCTATTGTGGCAAAGCTTTGCGACATATAAGGCTAGTGTTAAAATTAGCACGGTATTGACTTTTGGAATAGACGGAAATAATAAGAAAAGAGGAGATAGCACCAGCAGCAGAAACTTATCTATCAATGGCTAACACGAAGAACGATCAGGGATAGGGGACTATTCTCAACACCTGTCAGTGGTGTCCCCTACGAGCCTCCAGCTCTCACTGTAGAGTCTGCAGAGCCGAGATTGAGTAGCAAAGTCCTCACTTCGACGAGGATTCCCAATCGCTTTCGCCGTCTGTACCGTCTTCGCCTCTCAACACATTCCCCTATCACCATTATCATTAAGCTAACCACGGTCAGATCAGATGGTAGGGTCGGAGCCCTAATCACCACTAACCCTTGATTATAGAGGAAAAGCCATCCGATAAGTTTCCGGAGCGCACCCAGCACCCGATACGGAGATGGTGGATTGGATCAAGTCGGCCTCGAATGTTACAAAGAAGGGAGATGTAGATGAATATGCGCACCTCATATGGTCCTGGTGTCTAAGCCTCGCCTGGCTGGGGCTGCAGGTTTTTTGGGCCTTTTTGCAGTGCTAGCGGTTTCTGTTGCTAAGTTTTTTTTGAGGTAAAGGTTCCGTGTAAAAGGTGGCCGAATTCCATGGGTAAATACTGAGCTCAATGGTTATTCACCACGGTCAATATATCAATGATATTTCAAGTAAGAAAAGAGACAAGAAGCACTGTACAAGTTCTGGCCTAGGCCAGAGAGGAGCCCAATGTCTGAAGAAGTTTTAGACCCTATTTTTGCATCAGATTTTAATTGCGTATGCAGCTATCTAGCTATAACACAATATCAAAGAAAAGTACAGACTAGATGATTCAACGTCAAGGAAGAGCACTCATGCCTCGTTTTTCATTTGCAAGTACCACTGCGAAGTTATGGTGGCTTTTTCTTCACCCCAAGTCAACCCTCATCCGTGAATACCCACCCAGGGGAACGTCTCAAAAACCCTGAGTTATCCAGACATGCCTCCATCATCTTTCAACATTTCTCCGCGCGAAATATGGTCTTAGGGGTCTCCTTCCCAAATGGAGTAGGTGCCCAGGCTACTCAAACTATACCGGAGAACACCACTAAATAATAGACTTATGTAGCACAATAAACTCATACATATTGCTGACGAGGCTAATCGGGCCCCCATTCCTGGCTGATTTTAAATTTCAAAGGAGATTTAGCCCCGATTTTCTTGAATTTTAGGACGGAATAGAGTTGATATTCCGCCTTTCGATTATTTGGTTTGGTTTGTTCATTAACGTGCTAGGTTAAGTGACTACCGCTGCACTCCTCCTGGAACTTAAGCACGGGTGGGGCCAGGCTAGATCAGGCTAACTACCATTAAGTACATCTACCTCGTCCTTCCTCAGACTTCACTCGTATGTTGAATCATGTCAAGTCCAACCGTCCAAAGAACCTTCTCTTGGCACGCCGAAGCGCAATTTCCTCCTTGGCCTCGGCTACCACGCGCCTGAACCCTTGACACCTTTGCGATCTGTAACTTTCCTTTTCGTTCAGTCCCAGCTTTGGCTCATCTCAGCCAGGGATCGTTTTCTTCACTTGAGGCCTCATCCAGTCGCCCACCAAGGCCTCCTCAGTTTGTATTCCCTTTTGTTCCTTCATACAGCATCCCTCTGTCATTCAGCCGATCTCGTCATCCCAGAAACTTTGTAGAATGTCCAGACCTCCGGCCTTGCCCCGTTGCTGCCGTACCTCTAATAGTGGAGGTCCAAAATGTGACTTTGAGCTCAAGACCGAGGCACCGGTGCCCCAGCCTTTGTCGATTGCTCTGGTTGGTGTGCCGGCTAAATGTCGTACGTATTTTTTCAGTAACAATTCGTCGCAGGTCGAGTTGTTGTTGCCCTTGGCCGAGGTGAGGACGCATTTAAGGCCGGTATTTCGACCGTGCCTTCACAGCGACTGGCAGTTGCGGAGGTTCGGACATCCTCTTGCTTCTTTGTTGGCGATTTGTCTTTTGGAGGTATGGGATTTCTTAGGTAGATGGTAAGATGATGGTGGAGAGGGCCGCGAGATGTGTTTGGCTGAGGATGATTTTCCAGAGAAAAAGAAAATAAGATCTCGAAGGTGTCAGTTGTTGTAATGCGAACATCAGACAGTTGATAGGCTGCCTGCGGTTCCTATTTTAGGTGTAGATGATTGATTTTGTTGAGCTGTGCAGTCGTGAAATCTCTGCAAGTCGGATTTTCGACCAAAAATGAGCCGACACCACTCCTCCCGATCGCCAACTCGACGAAAGCTCTCAAATTCACCCTTTGTCGTGACTGAATCTCGGCTCTGGGAGAATATTTCACTCCCAGGTTCGTAGAGGACACCACTGACAGGTGTTCAGCCTTCGTCCTGCAAACAGTTTTCGCTTTAACCGCCATTCGATGCAATGCACCTTTGAAAAATTTTAGGATACTGAATACTTATGTTATTCATTTCCTTCCGGTGTTAACGTGCTGCGGGAGGACTCATTCCAGATGGGTTGGACCTTCGGCTAAGCTTTAAAGGGATTAGTGGATAACATCCTGAAAGAGTCAAATTTGGATCACGTTACCACTGAGTATTCACAGAAGCACCTGTGAGTCGCAGCGTGCATATCATAATTCACACCAATGGCATCGGTATTACGGGGCTCTCTATTAATCACGACATGCCGTAAATACCGTCCTTGCTCATATAGGCATGCCACAGGGCAGCGAGCCACATTCTCAGCATCTGCTACAACTAGAGGCAACGAATTTGATGACATATTCCCGAACCTAAGGAGATCAACAAACCTGAGCCAAGAAGATTACGCTAAAATTGAAGAATACGTCAAAAAAGACCTAGCCGACGTCGAGAATACTGCTGACGAAGATCGGCCAACATTGCGTCAGGTATTAAAAAAATATGAGAGTGATGATCCTAATGAGCCAGTTGATGGTGATAGCGAAACCTTAAACCAGTTCTGGGAGGATGCCTACAGCTCATATGGAGTTAAAAAAGTTGATGCGCCCGAGAAGCGCAAAAAACTCAAGCAAACATTTATGAACATGGGTGAAGCTGAGCCGTGGGAAGACGATGGCATGCTTCCTGATGATGACGATGATATTACCTCTATGGGGCATGGAGAGTTGGAACAACACCGAGAAATGCGTCACTATGCTAGATTGGCAGCGTGGGAGATGCCACTGCTTTACAGTAAGCTGCATCTTTGAGCTAATAGTTATCTCTATCTCCGAATAAACTAACAGTCGAAAAAGATTTGAGAAGACCCTATAAACCACCAACATCAGAAATGCCTTTGAGATTCAGGTATACGACCTACATGGGTGAGCAACATCCGGCGGAGAACAAGGTGGTACTCGAATTCTGCCCACTAGATATTCCGGATCTTACAGAGGTCCAGCAAGATAAACTTAAGAAACTTGCTGGTGTCAGGTGGAATCCAGAAACCAATATTGTCAAAATGAGCTGTGAGAGCTACGAGACGCAGGCGCAGAATAAGCGTTATTTGGGTGATATTTTTCAATCACTCCTAAAAGAGGCTAAGGTAATAATTAATTCGGCCATACATAAGATAACGATAGTTAAAATATATAGGATGAAACCGACACTATGGAGGATATACCATTAAACACCAAACATCATCGTTTCAAGAGTATCCCTCAGTTTCCGCGAGAATGGATCTTAACCGAGGAGCGTCAAAAAGAACTGCAAATTCATCTTAAGAAGCAAGTGGAGAAAGATATTCAGGCAAGAATTAGCGGTCAATTAATCGATGGTATTGACTACATCAATAGATCTCTAAATACAGTCAAACCTGATGAAAAAAATACCGTACTCACGGAAGTGGTCGGTGCTGGAGAGGGACGAGGAAAAAGACTAGCCGTGAAGCGGTAGATAACTCGTTGTATTTCAGCCCGAATTTCTGGATCTAAGCACTGCCGCTCAAATTTTGCTAGTAGATCCGCTGTTATCACTCACGACACAAATAACAACCCGTTTTAAAATGTGTAAAATGGGAAGGCATGATCATGATCAACCACGAAACCATGCTACAGTTCCTCAAGAAATTTTCAAAACAGCTGGACTCAAGTTTAAAGCCCTTTAAACTATTTGAAGATGCTTTCAAAGGATTAAAACTTTTTTTTTTGATTCTAAATTCAGCTCCTTGTATTATTTTAGCAAAACCCAGAGCCCTTAGCTTCAAATTATTAGCACGGGAAGTAGCTATTAAGTCATTCATTTTTGCCGGAGATCTGACCTGCAGCTAATTCACGTTCTCTACAATATTGTTTGATTTGATTTCATTGTCCTGATTTGGCGCCCTATAGGCCCATGCGGGTGTCTATCATACTTTCTAATTTATTTGGAAATCTTTCGGTGAAAATCCCCAAACTTTCCTGTTTATTGTCTATATTTTTCTGATGTATTCTTCAGGAAGTGCAGTTACATTACAGTGCCCTTCATGTTAACCAATCACATCATCTTTATCAACCCCAAGAATGGCTTGACCTGTTCCCATCCCTCAGCAGAATGTCGACTGCCTTTGTCATCTGGAATTGTTCTATCCAACCATGATTTAGGATCCACTATGTTATTCTTTTGATGTTTCCAGGATTGTTTAGCATAGCTTCGTAGGATCGATCTTTGTCTTGTCTCCAAATCTCTCCTCTTCGATTTGACTTTCGAGGGCAAGACATAATCATGTGCTTGGGGCTCTGCGATTGGTAGCCACATTAGCAGTTTGGAGTGTAGACTTCGGTTACTTTTCTTCTATGCGGATACGAATTGAGCCCCATATGCTCACTTCGTATTTGCATTGACAGACTGCTATGGGCCATTGTCAGGTTTCAGTGGAGTTGAAATGGCAATTCCTGGAGACTAATCCTCCATCGATCCGACTGTCGGTTCTGATAGAATTCAACTGCTCTCCAGGTTTCGGGGTCTACGATAGCTAATTGTCGAGGTAGTTGAAGTCGCGTTTGACTTGCCAGGATTTAGCCCAATCATGGTATGCTGCGATGTTACGGGCTTAAGGATACCGGGATAGGTTACCTGGACAAGGTCTGGAGACCAATTAAGTAGTGTCGATCTTAGATAACACTAACATTACCCCTGTAAATATCTTCGTGCTGTAAATCCTTAACTACACCGTAGAGACATCTTTTGGATATCATTGTTTTAGATAATCAGAATAGACTTCGCTAACTTCGTTCGATTATTTAGATCACGGCTAGTTTTGTGACATGCGACTTTTTCTGCCATTTTCTGCCCTTTTTAGACTGGTCTTCCCCACAAATTTCCACCCAGTTTTCCAGATCTAAACTCTTGTTATTGGAGCAAATGTCTTCTCTCCCTCGTTTGGGCAGCTTGATATTACTACAGGTGGGTTGCATGAGCTTTTGAACTGGTAAGCTTTTCGAGCGGCCAACGTCTTAGAGCCTTTGTTGCTTCAGGTAGATTTCTATAGGTAGGGTAGCAGTTTTGTGTTAGACCACTCTCGATCTAGTCGATTTATAGACTCCTGTGACTATTTTTAAGCAGTTTCTTCGCATGCTTCAAAGGGGTCTCACTGCCGTTTCAAGTATTCTACCACCTGGCCCGCTCTCGGCCCAAATTGGTGACCCATAGGTGAAGACCGGTCTCACTAACGAGCTGTACAACAGCTTTGCCTTGTGGAATGTCGCTCTCCATGTAGACTGTGATAGTCTACTCATTACCTGAACATGCGTCTCTGCCTTAAGCCTTATACTTTTGACGTGTGCTCCCCCAGATTAGCTTCGGATCGAAGTAAATTCTGATGATCCGGAGAGAAGGCCGTGGAATTGTTTTCTAACCTTACATTTCAATTGTTGCTCTAATATTATGTTTTTTCCTTGCTCGTGAGAAGTGCATTTGCTCGTACTTCACGGGAGCAAATCTAACCCCATGCTTTATTGTCCACTGCTCGCAGACCTAATGCTTCTTTTCCAACTCTCGGCAGTTTTCCTCGGTTGATCGTGACCATATCAGGATATTTGTGTCATCTACAAACCGTACGGCTGAGGAAAGACACGAGTGGAGCAGCGGAAGGAGTGTGCCGAAGAAGAAAGGAAACAGTATTAGTGGTAAGGAGGAGCCTTGAGGTATCCCCGTTCTGATAGATATCCGTTCTCCCTTGAATGATCCTAGCACTAAAGATGTCGTCCTTCCTTGTAGATAGGACTTTTTGTAAAGCCTGATCCACGTCAGGTTTCTTTTTTCTCTTGGGTTATGTTGTAATCGTTCGTGAGACACGTTGTCGAAAGCTCCTATTATATCAAGGCTGAGCAGGGACACCACTCTCCTTTTGTCTTTACCCTAAATCGTATGAATTTGCTCAGTTAGAAGCTCTACTGCGAAAATTGTGGACCCCATGGGCCTAGCTTCCGTCTGCTCTTCAGGGAGAAGGTTAAAGTTTTCGGCCGCTTTGGAAAGACGATTAGCTATCTGCTTTTTCAGGAGCTTCCCTATGGTATTAAGACGAGCGGTTGGTCTATACGATTTGGGAGTATCGTATTTCGGTTTCTAGGGCTTTCTCATTACAACAGTGGTTGACTCTTTGAACTCTATCGGGTGGTATCCAATTGCGAGGCAGGCATTGAATAGAAAGGTTAGTGCTTTGCTCAGGGTCTTCCAATATTTCTTTAGAACTTGGTTCGGTATACTGTCTGGCCCGGTGGCCTTATATTAGGGTAAACTTCTGATCAATACTTCGGTTTTTTCTTGGGTAATTGAGCTAGATATTGTCTCGATTTCATCAGGATATTCCGCGCCTGGGATATCACGAACATCTGCTAGCGAGGGTGTCGGTTTATCACCGTTTCTAGGTAATTTGCTAGAACAAAGATTGGGTAAAATAGTCATTGATCAAAACGTATTTCTATGTCTCCCTCTCTCTATCCATCTTTAGTATTTATTTATTTATAATATTTAACGTCGTGCCCGCGCACAGCACGTGAGCTCCTCACGTACCGGTTAGCCCAGTCTATATTAAACTACCCGACGTGTTGGCGCCTACACAGACCCAACAAAGCAAATGATGGCCAGGATCTTATCATCCTGCGCTCGAAGATTATAGTATATCTGAAGGTCGTCCGTCCAACGAATCTCATGCTATGTAGTTGGTACTAAATCAAGGAAATATTTTACAAAAAAAAAAAATAATAAAAGGAGAAGATTGTTAACATCAGATTGTGATTTCATTCGAATGAGATTTTTCGTTATGCTCATTTGAAGAAATTTGTGACACACATCCAGTAATTGAATGCATCAAGTCCCTCCGCTGGAGCAAGAGCCCAAGATACGCTGGGATTAGAATTCTGTGCCCTGTGGAGCCGAGCTTGGTATTGCCCGAGGTGGCAAAAGTAAAAGTAGATGGGGGACTTCTCTTCTCCGCATGTACAGGTTAGAATGGCGTTTTCGTGCTGAAACCGTCGTTGGTAGTCCGCGAAGTCGCCGTGACCTAACCGTGCAGCTAGTAGATATTCTAATGTACGTCGCCCTAGACGGGCGAGCTCAATGATAATTTTAGTATTAGGGCCAATACCTTTTTCTTTGTATCTAGAAGGTGCATTTTCTGCCCAATATGGTGTTACGAAAGCCTCGCATTGGACTTTGACTTCTCTCCTTGCTCTCGCAAAGGAGGGTTCTAAGTGTGGAGCTAGAGCGGCACACGCGGCTTTAGCAAGCGTGTCGGCTGCTTCGTTCCCGAAAATACCTGCGTGGCCCGGGCACTATCGGATAGCCACTTTCCCAGGCGTCATATTTTGACCGCGTGATCTTCTTTTCCAGTTCATTGCGAGCTTGCGGAAGATTAATATTTTCGCCGAGCTGGACGCTGTGGGCGTATCCAAGAGTAGACGGATGGCAGCCTCCTGGTTTTCAAGGCAGACAGTGACGTTAGAGGCATGATAGGCCAGTGGGTTGCGAAGAGCTGCGGCAAGACCTTCAGTGGCCCCGGCAATTTCTGCATCATACACTTCTGCCGATTTTCCTAGCGGGAGTGATCCTCGCCCTATTTCCTGTGTAGGGCCTCGGTAAGTGACATAACCCGCACCCGCTCGGTCTTCTATGAGAGCGCCATCTGAAAATACGAATAGGTCTAGGACTGGTTGTTTATCCTGCCATTGTTTGAAGGAATTTGGTCTCAGGAGTCTATTTACTGCCCCAATTCGGATTAGATTTTCCTCATAGGGTGCGGACCATGGTGGGGGTATGGTGTCATCGGAAAGTTCTAACGGGATCCTCTGGCGGATCAACCGCATGCGACGAGTGTTCCAACGCCTACGAAGAGGGTGGTACGGGTCTGCTGCTGCAATTCGAACCGCTAGACGACTGTGAATTCGGGAGATCTATATTTGAGCTGGGCCCCAGCCAATTTCTCGTAGGAGTGCTGCTACTGGGGTGGTGCGATATATTGGGAGAAGAGTCATAAATATATTTATACCGTGAATCGCACTTCATACGTGTGATAGCACGTGACCATACGATCCCTAAATCCACTCCATGCCTAGACTTTTGGTAGCCTATGAAGGAATGTCATCTCCCAAGAAGCATCATAAAGAGCTATGACTCCCTCGCCGATATCTCGGATATTTAATCGACTGCCGCACTGGACACGGTGACTTTCGTGCCTATCATGAAAGGTTTCATCATTTTGATGCCCTTCTGACTTGTTCCTGCGGGGCTAACAAGTCAATCACTCATTTAGTTTTTTGCCCCATTGTGCGAGAGAGACTGGCTTCGGCCGGCCATCGACGAAGTATGGGCTCACTGTATTTTCTTCTAAGCACCTCCCCAGGAGCTAAGCGTTTCACCACCATATTGTAGAAGGTTAGGTTCCTGTCAGAAATCTGCCCACTCCGTAACAAATGAGC